CTCTCTCTCTCTCTCTCTCTCTCTCTCTCTCTCTCTCTCTCTCTCTCCCTTCAGTAGGAAACAGCCTCAGGTGAGTATTTGTTGGCCCAGCTCCGGGGCCACTCCCTGCACAAGACCTTCCCCAGTCCCCTTCCCTCTTCCTCAGTTGGTCATACTACTTTCTCCCTCTTAAACTTCCTTTGGGTTCATTTAGATCTACTTTTCATGCCCTTCTCTGGGTGTCCCATGTCCCCCTAGGACAGAAGGGTCTTGAGGCCCAGGGATTGTTTCATTTTATCTTTGTGTCTTCAGTACCCAGCACACATTGCCCTGCCCATTGTACAGGATTAATAGAAGTCTCTTTAATTGAACTGGAGCAAACCAAAAATGCATGTCCATCAACTTGGGCTAATTCTGTTTCCTTCATTGTCCTTTGCCACCTTTTAATTTTGAGTGAGTCACAGATCCTGGGGAGATTGGTTTTTACAAATGCCTAGCTTTGGGCAGGCAATGTGAACTTAAAACGGTGTGTGAAAACTGAATCATCCCGAATACACTGGGGGAGCTTCCTATAAAGGGGAATGAATCCCCTTATTGTAAAGCAAAGATGATGGGCTAATAGCAGTCCAGACTGTTGTAGAAGGACAAAGTAAAAAAGCAATTTTTTTTTTTTACTTTGGATCAATATCAGTTTTCTTTATCCTGGAGATATACATATATGTGAATGTTATATATAATGTTATATTATATATTAATATATTATGCATTTGTATTATATATTTATATTATGCATACATTTAGGTAAATTGAATTTTCATATCTTACATTTGCTTAAAGCAAGGTGCACCAGTATTCATTTGATATTAATATCTCTGGAGTGCACACAGTTCACCCCAGAAAACCTCATCAGAACAGGAATCTCTCTCTAGTCATTTTTTTTTTTTTTGGCTAGGCAATGGGGTTAAGTGACTTGCCCGGGGTCACGCAGCTAGTGAGTTCTATGTGTCTGAGGCTGGATTTGAACTCAGGTCCTCCTGACTCCAAGGCTGGTGCTCTAGTCACTGCACCACCTAGCTGCCCCTCTCTCTAGTCATTTTTAAGAAATGAAAGAGGCTAATGGAATCCTCTAGAATTGTGGAATTTGTAAAGACTAAGTACATGGTTGATCTGGTTCCCAACCAGCAACTCCTTGAGGGAATGGAAGGGAAAAGCATTTGTTAAATATTTGCTGGGTGTAAAGTCCAAGGGATGCTGCTAGAAAATCAACCAGTCTGACCCTGCCTTCCGGGAGCTGCCACTCTATTTGGGGGAGACCATACCTGAAGGCGAGCTCAGATGTGGGCAGGTGGCTAGGCCCATAAAAGTGATTGGAATGAATAAAGGTATTCATCATTCAGATGTTGCTGCTTCTAGTAAGAAACCTTATCTACTGTCTGATCCTGGAGAGGCAGGTAAGACCCCACTCCGGGAGCCAGGGGGAAAGGGGGGGAAGCAGCATTTCATTTTCTGAGATAATCTTATATTTGCTCAACTTTGGTTTCTACAAGAGTTACATCTGCTAAAGGGTTATTCAAGTTATAGGGCTTTTACCCCCAGCTCCTTTTTTGGAATGGTGGGAATCTGGGACCACTGTGCTCCCCCTCCTTCTTCCCTTAGCCCCCCCCAACTACTTCCTTGGGAGACAGCTCTGCACAGCCTTTCTTTCCTCCTCTTCCTCTTTTTCCTCCCCCTTCTCTGTTAGTAATTCTAGATACTTGGATCTTGAATAGCTTTTGGTCCAAGACAAACAACACTGGTACTCTGTCCTCCTCCTCCTCCTCTTCCTCCTCCAATAATCTGGATTGATTTTTAGCTCATAATTCCTCTTAAATGCTGGTAAAGGACTGATTCCCTTGGGTTCTGGACTCCAATAAGCCAGATACAGGAGCTTTGGATGACTTAAGAAAAAAATAATAGTGATAATAGCTAATATTTAGGTAGCACCTACCATATGCCAGGCAATGTGCTAAGCGCTCTCTAATTATTACTTTGTTTGTTCCTTATATTAATCCTGAGAGGTAGGTGCTATTATGATTCTCATTTTACAGATGAAGAAACTGAGGCAAACAGGGTGAAATGACTTGCCCAGAGTCACACAGCTAGTAAGTGTCTGAAGATGGATTTGAACTCAGGTCTTCCTGACTCTGGGCCCAGTGCTCTATGCACTGTAATAATAATAACAACAACAGCTGACATTTATGAAGTGCTTACTGTGTTCCAGGTACTATGCTAGGCTCTTTACAATTATTATCTCATTCATTCCCCACAACAACCCTAGGAAGTAGGTCCTATTATTATTATCTTCATTTTATAGATGGGGAAACTGAGGCCAACAGGTTAAGTGACTTGCACAGGGTCACACAGCCAGTAAGTGTCTAAGGCAGGATTTGAACTCTCGTCTTCCTGACTCCAGGCCCAGCGCTAGCTATCCCTTAAGATAGGCCCTGCCCCGAGCCAGCCTTGTCACACAGTACCAGGGCCAGTGCTTGTAGGAAACTTGAGAAATGACCTTCTGGGGCCATTTAAATTTTTGTACCCCAGTCTAGGAAATAGACACAGCCCCAGCCCTCAAGGACCTTACGGTCTAGCTAAGCTAAGGCCCTGTCAGAGCAGAAGAAGATCAGAAAGCCAGAGGTGACACCTGAGCTGGGCCTCGAAGGATGACCAGCGTTTAGGTAAGCCGAGGGGAGGAAGGAGGAGCATTTCAGGAGTGAAGACCTGTGCAAACTAAGGCCCAGAGGCAGGAGTGAGCATGACACGAATGGGTAGATCCTCGAGGAGACCGGCCTGGCTAAATAGGAAGGTGTTTGTTGAGCAAAGAGAAGGAAAAAGCAGACATATGACTTGATGCAATTCTCTGGAGCAAATCAGTTGCCGCTTTTCTCTGCATCACTCCATGGTTTCCTCAAAGCTTTCATTAAGAAGGATTAAGGACTCTCTTCATCTCCCAGGTGGTTCTGGGAGGCCCAAGATTGCACGTCCTCAGAGCTCTGGCAGGGGACAGCACAGGGCCTGGCACGTAGGAAGCACTATGTAAATGTTAGTTGTTGTCATCATCATCATTATTCTTATTTACAGCGGATAGATCACTGGGCCTCGAGTCTGGGAGACCTGAGTTCCAATTCATCTTCAGACACTTAGTAGCCGTGTGACCGTGGACAGCCTTTTGACTTAGTTTTCCCTTTGGACCTTAGGGATCAAGACACAAATGACGTCATGGTCCTGGTGGATTCACAGGATGAGGAGGAGGAGGAAGAGGCAGAAGAAGAGGAAGAAAGAGAGGAGGGAGAATTGCCAAAAGAGACGAGCAGACACGGCCACGTACACCGGGTGACTGCCCTGGTGAATGGCGATGTGGAGCGCATGGGGAACGGTCCCCAGGCCCTCCAGGGTGAGCCCCTTTACCACCTGGTAGTGGGAATTAGCTCCCTTCCTGATCTCACTTCCCATTAAAATGACTGAGCTGGAGAGTGACTTTGAAAGAAAGGCATTTAGCTCAAACCTTCCCTAAAGCCTGAGTGTTTGAGAGGCAGGGAACAGAAATTAAAACTCATATATCAGCAGAGAGTCATGGCCTATAGTGGAAAGAAAACTGTGTCTTTGAGGAAGGGAGGGAGGGGGGAAAAAAGAAGGGAAGAGAGGGAGGAAGAAGGAAAGGAGAGAGTGAAGGAGGGAGGGAAAAAAGGAAGGAAGAGGATTAAAGAAAGGAAGTATTCACAAAATACCTACTATGTGCCAGACACATAGTAGTGCTAAGCACTTAACAAATACGGTCTTTGATTCTCACAACAACCCTGGGAGGTAGGTGCTATTATTATCCCTGTTTTACAGTTGAGGAAACTGAGGCATGCAGAAGTAAAGTGATTTGCCAGGGTCATACAGCTAGTAAATGTCTGAGGTTGGATTTGAATTCAGGTCTTCCTGACTCCAGGCCTGGGGCTCTATCCACCGGACCCCCTAGCTGCCTTCAACTCAGAACAACCTGAGTCGAATTCCTGCCTCAGACACCAGCTTTGTGACCCTGAACCAAGTCACTTAATCTTTCTCAGCTTCAGCCACCTCATCTGTGAAATGGAGATAACAATAGCATTTACTTCATAAGGTCCTTGTGAAGATGAAATGAGATAACATATAAAACGTTTTGCAAACTTTCGAGTACTATGGAAATGTTAGCCGTCATTATTATCGTTTATGTTTTCACCATCACCAGCATTATTATTATTATTAGGATTCAGAGGACCCGGGTTCATATTCTCACTCTATTACTTTAATGTCTGTGTGACCTCGGGTGAGTCACTTGAGGTTTTGTAGTCCTCGCTTTCTTCCTTTATTAGTAAAATGAGGGTGTTGGACTACATGACATCTAAGGTCCCTTTTCAGTTCTAAATCTCATAATCCCATTGGTGAATCAGTTCACCAAATATTTGCTGTTTCAGTCAACAAACATTCATGGAATCCTTGTCAACACGGTACTGGACACACACACAAAAATACAACGCTCTGCCCCTTCTCTCTAGGAGATGACAAGAACTGGGGAGAACAGATAGTGAAAAGTTAAACAATACAAGATTTAAGTAACAGTGGAAGACAACTGTAGAAGGGTAGGACGGTGATATGAGCTCAGCCGAATAGCGGAAATGCTGGTTGCTGGAGGAATTCAACTGTTGGAAGACGCCACCGTGGACTGTTGTAGCCAGAGAAGGTTTGACTGCAAAGGTGGGATTTGAGCTGGGTCTCGGAGGATTCTTGGAGCATAGGATTAGATCCAGAGCTGGAAGGGATCTTAGAGGTCATCTGGTCCAGCCCCTTCATCTTACAGATGAGGAAACTGAGGCTTATATAGGTTAAAGTGACTTGTGCATAGTCACACATTAGTAAGTGCCAGAGGTAGCATTAGAATCCAGGTTTTCCTGACTCCAAATTGAATGCTTTAACCACTATGCCAAGCTGCTTCTCAGTTCCCCTTTCAGTAGGACTTAGATTTTTAAAACAAATCGTCCATTGTTATATAGGCACACACACTACCCCAGATCACTACCCAGACCCCAGAATCTGAGTCTGGCTTTATTTGCTGAAAATAAGTCCAACCGGGGGCAGCTGGGTGGCACAGTGGATAGAGTACCGGCCCTGAAGTCAGGAGGACCTGAGTTCAAATCCACCCTCAGACCAAACACTTGACACTTACTAGCTGTGTGACCCTGGGCAAGTCACTTAACCCCAATTGCCTAAAAAAAAAAAAAGGAAGAAAGAAAAAGAAAAAAAAGAAAATAAGTCCAACCTATTGCATTCTTTAGGGCTGGTGGCTGATTAAGAACACAGTGTACCAAATCCTCCATCAGCTCTTTCTTTTTCTTTTTTTTTTTTGCCATTCAGATGACAGTAGAGAAACCCAGAGCGACATTTTCCAGGAAGAATGTGACCGACCTGTTTGATTGAAATTCATCTTTTCCTTTATGTTCCTGGAGCACCCTCAGAGGATGCTTGGTTGGAGTTTAGCTTTCCAGACGCCCTAAAGCAATATCCCAACCTGGGCTCTGAGATCTCTCACTTTGGCAATGGTTTGGGCCCCTCAGCAAAGATCCCACCTCCCCTTCTGCTCTTTTCTCCCTAATTAGCTTGATTTGGGGTCGGCTCCCTCAAGGATGCTAAAGAGCCGTAGGGACAGGCAAACACTTGGGAGGAAGCCTTAGACGTGGCATTTGGTTTCCAAAGTGCAACTTTCCCGGGGAATCTTGACTCCATCCAGATGTCCCCACTTCCTTGAGAGCACAAGTGAAATGTCTTTCCTTAGCAAGAGGAAGATGATCGAAGGTTTGCCAGCAGCTCATGCCAGTGTACAGAGAAGAGTGTTCTGGGATCCCAGGGCAAGCACCTAAAATGACCCAGGCAATAATCCCTTTGTCACTATCCAAGGAAGGTATAGGTGGGCCAGATTTCCAGGCAAATGTCCACTGACTGAAAAAAAGGGCAGGATTTGCCAGAAACTATTATATCTGGGGGGGGACCTTTCTCACCTTGGTGGGAAGTTAGGTCAACTAAAAGTTGCAGTCTCTCAGTGAGTGAGAGCATTGCTGGCATTTGAAGAAGGAGATGTGGATTATTAGAATGGAAGAGCACTGGACCTGGAAGGCCACAACCTGTGTATCCTTGGGCCTATCACCTCTCTGGGCCTCAGTTTCTTCATCTGGAAAATGATAGAGTGGATGACTTCTAAGGGCTCTTCTAAAGCCCCACAGGCTCTATGGATCCTGTGATCGTTCATAACTTTTCCGGGTCCATAGATGAGCCATAATTCTTTTTGGAGAGGTGGGAGGTTAATGAGATAACAAGGAGATGCTTTTATTGTAACCAGAATGTATAGGGAAATGCTCCACAGGGAACAGGAAAAGTGTAATTAGGTGAGCCTCTACTTTTTCTGCTCCCTTAGCCATTGATATGAAAGTCATTGATACAAAAGTAAGAACCCCATATAGTTTGCCATGGAACAAGTAGAAATCTGGACTGGTTCTCAACTTTCTCACTCGGCTCTGGTGACCATGATTGAGTCATGGCCATTCTTGACCTGGTCTTCTGCATCTCTGAAATGGGGATGAGAAAACATCTTTTCTGCTTGCCCCAAGGGGCTACTAGGAAGCTAGCCCCATTGGATAACTATGAAATGGAAGGAAAATGCTATGGAATAATGACAAGTGGGAGACTCTAGTGAGCTGCCATTGTTTTTTTTCCACAAGGCCTTCAGTGAGTGCAATCCTCAAGCCTTTTACATGATGGTGATAGAGGATGTAAGGGCTTGTGCTAGGCACTGCACTTGTTTTCCACGTGTACAGATCTGCTCAAGATGGGGCTGGGATGCACTCTGGGACTTGGAAGGTCTGGGTTCTTATCTTGCTTCAGATATTCACTTTCTGTGTGAGCATGAGCAAATCACTTCACTTCTCTGAGACTCAGTTTCCTTATCTGTAAAATGGAGATAGAATACCTGTAACACCTACCTCACAGGGCTGTCATGAGGCTCCAATGAGGTCATGTAAATAACAGAAGTGCTTTGGCAAACTTACTTATCCTCCTGCCTTTTTCATCACCATGAACTTATGTCACCCTGGACTTTGCCAAGACAGCTTGAACTCAGCAGCAGACTCCCTTTTCTAACACTAAAGTTATCTAGGTTATAAAATTTGTTGTTGTTTTTTTTTTTATCACATTCATTCACATGTTGTGATGACTGTGATGCCTGAAATGGGTTTCATTATGCACGGCTCTTTGCGTTAGCTGCACCTTATTCTGCATGAGAAGCAGTGCAGTGGTTAGAGTTGACCTCAGGGTCAAGAAGACCTGGGTTCAAATCCTGCTTTTGCCATATATTAAGTACGTGACCCTGGGTGAATCACTTGGTCTCTCAATGCCCTAGGCAACCCCCTCACACAAAGTTTCAGAGAAGGTACCAGGTGGAAAAAGTTCCCTGATGAGGATTTCCCTTGAGTGCTGAAATCATAGGTTCAGACAAAAAAATATGTAAAATAACCTTGCGGGAATTTTTTTAAAAAAAGATGTCAGACTGATGTCAATTGGCCAAAGTCAGCCCAGGTACCATTTTGCTGCCAAGGAACAAGGGAAAATCGAATACAGGGCCTTCCATCCCAGGAATCATAGTGTTATATTTTGTCTCTCCACTGGGCAATTTCCATTTTGCTCCATAGTACCTCCACTGTTCGACTAATTCATGTAGTTTTAGAATGGGTTGCCATGACAGGTGTATTCTACCACCTCCAGGAGCTGGATCATGGTCTCCGCTCCTTTGAGTCTTTCAGGGCCCATTTGGTGAAATTCCTGCATTTGAGAATACCATCCCTTGGACAACTGGGGCTTGGTCTACCTTGATTTAGCAATTGACATTGTGAACCCTAGTAACTTTATGCAATAGGAAATGAGAGAAAGTTGCGCAAGGTCATTAAAGATTTCCCTAACTTCCTGTTCCTCCTACAGATATTTTAGTAATTGAGTCAGAGCAGAGATGGGGAACTATACAAGTCAGGGATTTTTCCACTCACAAATAAAAATGTAGTGCCAACTTGCTATTAGCCAAAGCAACCCTTTAAGCAAGCCACGAGCCATGAATGATTGATGTCACTCATGGATGAGTACAGAAGACCTTGGGTGAGATTGCAGGCTTTTAGGCATTTCGAATTTTCAAGGCATTCAAAGAAATGGGGCTTAAGTATTTTTTTAAAGAAAAACAAAAAACAAAAAACCCTGAAATACCAAAGCCTTTTGACAGGGAGACTCTATTGTGGCTTTGTAGGTTATGGTTTTTAGTTTCATCTTTCAATAAAACAGGTATTGTGACTTCATAGCAAATTCAGGAATTCTGCTTACCAGAACTTGGATGGTAAACATTTAGAGGCTGCCATCTTTTTTTTCCATGAGGCCTGGTGGGGTTTGCCTCCACAAACCTTCCTCCTCCTGCCTTCCTACCTTCCTCCAAAGGTAGAGCTTTTTGTAGCTGGTTCCAGTTGTCACTGAAGCCCTGCAGTGAAGTTCTTTTATTCAAGCATGACTGCAATATACACACTGAAGGTATTGGCACTTGGATTAATAAAGCACTACAGACTAGTTGGGAAGACTTCTTGGGTAAAGCTTTCTGTAATGATGCATTCAATGCCAACAAGTGTAAATCTTCCATCCTGTGACTAGCCATATTCTGCTATTAGGGCTTTTAAAAAACACAGTCAGGTATCTCTGCTCTAAATAATTTGATATTTTATGTAGGGGTGGGGATGAGAAATTAGTTTTGAGAGCTGTGGTTGGTTTTTTTTTATGATTCTGGAATAAAGTTATTTTTCAATAAATAATTTTTGGAATCTTTATTTAGATCTGCTGTCTTTCCTTAAAAAAAAAAAAGTTGGTATTTTCCACTGGCTTTACTTAAGATTTTAAGATGTTGCATAATCTACTGCCTCTCTGCCCTCATTTGATATATTTTGGTATAACTATGAAGATAAATTTGGAAAACCTCCCTAGTCTGCCAAAATTGGTTTTCCTGGCTTTTCCCAGACAGGCTTGTAAGCTTCTGCATACCCCGTGTAGCCCCCAACTCCTTACATCTTCTACTTCATCGCCCTTAGAAACAACACTTTTTGGCCTGCTCTGTTTTTCTTCCTCACATCCACATGCACCCTCATCTCGATATTCATTTTTGATCAGAACCTCCTAGTTGTCCAAACTTTCCTGAGGACTTCCATGAAATGATGTACAGTGAAGTGAGTGGAGTTAGGGGGAAATGGATTAGATGATTTCAGCATTTCAAAGATAACACCGTTTTGAAAGACTTAGGAACTCTGATCAATACACGGACCGACCACAATTCCAGAGGACCAAAGATAAACCATGCTACTATGATGATTAAAAAGGTTCAAGAGACCTATGTCTCTTTTTTGGGTAATTTAATCATTTCATTAATAAGGCCGGTACACTATTAATAAAAGAATGGTTATTTGACCATCTCTCTTAGGCCAAAGACAATCATGGTGGTAAGTTCATAGTTCATATATCATTCAGAAGAGGAATAGGTGTTCAATAAAGGTTTGAGAGTGACACCATATCACTAATGACCAGAGATTTAACTCTACACCCAGACCACCCCCAGCCTTGGGTAATCTATTCCAAGAATGTATGCCCTACCCAAGCATGAGCTTGGAACACAATGGCTACTACACCAGGGTGGGGTCTTAAACAAGAAAGTTAGGCCAATCACATTATCAGTAAAGTCCTTCAAGAGACTGCACTTTTAAGAATCAGGACTTTAAAAGATGGGGAGATCTCTGGATCTCCCCAAATTATTGGTTATTAATAATCATTTCTCTCACTACCAGTTTCCTGATAGGTGATGGACTCTGGATGGAGATTGTATGCAACCAATGTGGGAATTTGCTTTGCTTGGCTAGGAAACTTTGTTACAAGGATTTCAGTTTTTTGTTTTCTGTCTGAGAGTGAAGGATAGGATTTCTCTTCTCCCACGTAGAGTGGAGAACAAAAGAAAGGCCAGAAGGAATCACAGGCTAGCAGGACAACTTTGAAAGTTGCATGCTTTGATTTTGCATGTATAGTTGTTATAACACTTGTCTTCTCAGTGGGCGAGGATGGGATTGCAGGGACGGAGAGAATTTGGAACTCAAAATCTAGAGAATGTTAAAAATAAATAATAAAATAAAAGAAGAAAGTTACATTCTGCATTTGTGATCTGCTTAGAAATACAAATAGAGATTCAGTCTCATGTACAATCTTTTGTCCTATATTGTAGATGGAAATGATCATTTTATTTGGTATTTAAGTTCAAATAAAAAAAAATTTAAAGAACTCTCCTGAGACGATACATCTTCCTCAAATTTGAAGGGCTTTTGATGGTGGAGGTTGGGGAGTATGTGGGATTTTGAAGTAGGCGGGTAAAATATACTAAAAGGGATTTGTGACCAAAAGAGGCCAGAAGTCCTGGCCCCACTAACACTTATTGATTTGCTAGTTTTTCACTTGCCAAGGCTGGTTTATCATTGGTCTTTGGGAAAGCCTTAATAGACATTTCTGCTGGGGTGCTTGGGAAAGGGATCTAAATCTCTGGCTACAACTTCATCATTTGTAAATTTTAGGACAATATAAAATAATTTTGGGGTTTGCTTTCAAATTACCTCCAAATTCTTAATTTAAAAATGAAGGGTTGAGCTAATTCAAAATGGCATAAGACATGGTGCCTGAACATGTGTTTTCCTAAAGGCTCCCATGTTAAAATCCCATTTCTATGTAGCTCATGACAAGATGTCACCAGGATATCAACCCAGGTCCCTTTTAAAACCTATAAGAGATGACTCCTGGGAACCTGAGTTCCCAAGAACCAGAAGCCAAAAGTGTGATCCCTTCATTCGGAAGATAAGATTATTACTCTCGGACAAGCAATTATGCTTATTTTAAAATAGTGGAAAGAAAGAATTTTGTGTAAAGTAAGTTTGTTGTACTGTTTCCTCAAGGTTTTGGCAGAATGATATGATTAGAGAGGAAAAAATATTGGAGGTAATTCTCAAAAAGTAATTTTACATAATTGCACACACTAGAGGCTGGTACTAGACCAGGAGCATCAGAAAGTGCCTCTCTGTGTGACTTTGAGCAAGTCACTTAACCTCTGTTTGCCACTGGAGGAGGAAATGGAAAACCAGTCTAGTATCTTTGCTAAGAAAACATCATGGGTAGAAGTTCATGGAGTCATGAAGGGTTGGACATGGCCAAACGGAGGGAACAATGGTACTAGACTTGGGATCAGGAACACCTGAATTTAAATCTTGCCTCAGTCACTTAGAGGTGTGACCCCTGGGCAAGTCACTTAATCACTGTTTGCCTCAGTTTTCTTATTTGTAAAATGGGGATAATATTAGCACCTACCTCTTAGGGTTGTTGTGAGGCTCAAATGAAATAACGTGTAAAGCACTTTGCAAACCTTAAAGTGCCATATACAGTGCCAAATAAATTATAATTAGCAGGGAAGACAATATTAGAAAATCATAATGATGATGCAGTAAATGTAAGCAGGTAATTATTTCACATTCTCTGCCTAGCCTAGTACTTGCTAAATGGGAGAAGAATGAGAAATGTTTCTTTAATTTGGTAAAGGATAGACAGATGTTAAATTAATTGGGTCTGTCTTCAAGTCATAGTTTAGGTCATAGTTAAGATATTTAAGAATTTTTATTTAATTATTTTAATTAATTCAATTATTAAATAATTATTTTAGATATTAAGTCCTTAAGTCATGGTTAGGTTATATAAGAACAGCCTTCTTTCCTTCTACCCCCTAAAAATGTACTCTTCTGCCCATCACACACTGTCCCTTTTAGACCATAGTTTATTCAGATTGAGAGGTGGATTGCTTACTTAAGATTAGATTACAAAAATATTTCCTTATTTATCTTAAAATATTTAGGATGCCAAAGTTGAGATAATTTAATATCTCTGGGAGATCCTGTAGATATTTGTTGTTCAGTCATGTCTAACCCTTCATAACCCCATTTGAGGTTTTCTTGGCAAGATACTGGAGTGGTTTGCCATTTCCTTCTCCAACTTATTTTACAGATGAGGAAATTGAAGCAAACAGGGTGAAAGTGACTTGCCCAGGGTCACACAGTTAGTGTCAGACCGTATTTAAACTCAGGTCTTCCTGACTCTAGACCTAGGACTCTATCCACTGTACAGTCTAGCTGCCCTCTCTAAGGGGGATGGAAGACTGAGTTGTGCAGAGCTAACCAGACACTTGAATTACTTATTGAATTCTGGATTAGTGAATTGTCCACTGTTCTTCCCCAGTAGCACAGATCTCATTCCATTCCAATCCTC